AGTTTACCACCAAGTAAGTATGTAGATTGCATAAAATCTTATGAGTATTAGTATGTACTAGTTCATCACACCTTCCTGATCCCACCAAATGCAGAGTTTTGTCTTTTTTCCAAAGCGATTTGGCTTTACAGTTGATGTTGATGGTTAACCTAGATCAACCCATGATTTTGTGCATTTGGGATTCTCAAAATGAGTCCACTTTTCATCACCAGTCACAATTCAATGCAAAAAAGACTTCCTTTCATGCCGTTGAAGCAACATTTTACTGACAACTTTTCAGTTTTCCATTTGTCTTTCGTGCAATTGATGTGACACCCATTTTCCTTGCTTCAAATCTTTCCCATTGCGTATACAATAACTTTCAGCAGCACTTTTCTTCAAAATAATGAATTAAAACTTCCCACAAATGCTTTTTTGGGGGCACAAAATTCGACATTTTTAAGTGTAAAAATATCTATGATGTTAACACCTTCAGAAAATTTGACATACGAAGTTTTGAAGCTTGTGGTCAATACAACGAAACAGCATATATATCAAATCGCATATATCTCAACATATGTGTAACTCCATCTATAGAAAAAAATCCGCATTATTTACCAGTACACCTGGTAAAGAGAAAGAGAGAAAAGCCAAAGGATAGCTCTATTAAGAATTTGATGAACCATAGGAAAAAAATGCAATATATACTTTTTTAAATATATTTTATTGATTTTTTACAGAGAGGAAGGGACAGAGATAGAGAGCTAGAAACATCGATGAGAGAGAGACATCGATCAGCTGCCTCCCGCACATCTCCCACTGGGGATGTGCCCGCAACACAGGTACACGCCCTTGACCGGAATCGAACCTGGGACCCCTCAGTCCGCAGGCCGACGCTCTATCCACTGAGCCAAACCGGTTTCGGCAGGCAATATATTTTTAAGTGTGAAAAAAAGTCATTAAAAGATTCTGAAAAGGCATTAACATGATTTATTTTACAAGGATTGTCCTAGCTTCTGCAGGACTACTTAAAACTGTTAAATGTTACAGGTAATAAAGAACAGAAGCAGGAAGACCAGTTAAGAAGCTACTATAATAATCCAAGGAAAAAAACTAGTGGCTAAGACCAGGAGGATAATGGTAGATATGAGAAGTAGTAGTCAAATTTGGGTATATTTCAAAGGTAGAGACACTTCCTGATCCTCATATATGAGAAGCTGGATATGAAAGAAGTCAAGAATAATACAACAGGGTGCGATTTCTTGAGATGGGAACACTAAAGGAGAAACAGACTGAAAGGAGTAGAATGAATGATTTGGTTTGGACCTGTTCATTTTGAGAATCTTATTAAATCTTCAAATGGAGATATCAACAAGGCAATTAGATTTATTAAAAAGGAGTTAAAGAGGAGACTCTTGCCAAGAAATGGCATATTAATGTGTGACTCATATATGGTACTTAAAATTAATGGGAATAGTAAGATCACCCAGTGAGTTTATTTACCATAGATGGAAGAGAACTTAAAGTGCTGAAATACCTCAACATTTAGAAATCTGGTAGAAAGGGAGGACTCAGAAAAAGAGACTAAGATAGAAAAGCCGAAGAGGTAGAAGAAAAACAAGGTGATGAATGTCATAGAAGCTAAGTGAAAGAAATACTTCCATAAAGAAGTGACCAACCATCATGAATGCTACTGAGATAACATTAAAATGAAGATTGAGATTTGATTATTAATATTGGCAAAGCTAAAATGAACTTCTAACTCGACAAGAGCTGTATCAGTGGAAAATTGTGGGCACAAACTGGAGTGAGGTGATCCCAATAGAGACTGAGAGGAGAGAACTTGGGAACGTTAAGTACAGACAACTCTTTAGAGAAATTTTGCTCTAAAGAAAATGAGCACATACCAGACTAAAATCTGGAGTCAAGAATTTTTCTTGGTATTTTTACTGTTTTCTTTGATTGTTTGATTTGGTGAGTTGGTGGGGGGGAGGGGGTTTGTTTTTAATTTTATCAATATATTTTTGATATCAGAGAGAAAGGAAGAGAGAGAAATATCAATGATGAGAGAGAATCATTGATCAACTGCCTTCTACACACCCCCTACTGGGGATCGCCCACAACACAGGCATGTGCCCTGACCAGGAATTAAACTGTGACCTCCTGGTTCACAGGTCAACACTCAACCACTGAGCCAAGTCAGCCAGGTGGTGCTTTTTTAAAAAAGATGAACAATAGCCCTGGTTGGCATGGCTCAGTTGGTGGGCATCTTCCTATGCACCGAAAGATTGCTGATTCGATTCCCAGTCAAAGCACAAGCTCGGGTTTTGAACACAATCCCCAGTAGGGGGAGAGAAGGAGGCAGTCCAATCGATGTTTCTCTCTCACACTCCGCTTCTCTCTCTCTCTCTCTAAAAAGACAATAAAAACTTTATTTAAAAAAGATGAATATGACTTGTAGTATGCTCATAGAAATGATCTAATAAAGAGGGAACACTAATAAGGAGTTCAGAAGGAGAATCTATGTATAACAGGGGATATGATCCTATATAATAAAAGAGAAACATGTAAATTGACCATCCCTCCACTACAGTCCCCAGCCAATCAGGAGTGAGTATGCAAATTAACCTGACAAAGATGTATACACAGGCACCAGACAGAGAGCAGAGCAGGAGAGCCGGCAGAGAGTGGAGAGGCTTGGGGAAATTGTCTCCCCAAGCGGCCAGACGGAGAGAAGAGAGGGAAAGCTGGCAATTTGGAGAGTGGGAGACCACGGGACAGAGACAGAGCAGAAAGGGAAAACCAAGATCAAGGGGAGCACCAGGAACTCTGGGAATAGTAGTTTTGGTGGCAGCCCCAGAACTAGAGGCGGAAGCCCAGAGCATGGGGAGCACCAGGAATGCTGGGAATCATAGTTCTGGTGGCAGACAGATCTCCTAGACCAGTGATGGCGAACCTATGACATGCGTGTCAGAGGTGACACCCAAACTCATTTTTTTGGTTGATTTTTCTTTGTTAAGTGGCATTTAAATATATAAAATAAATATCAAAAATATAAATGTTTTACTATGGTTGCAAGTATCAAAAAATTTCTATATGTGACATGATACCAGGGTTAAGTTAGGGTTTTTCAAAATGCTGACATACTAAGCTCAAAAGTCGCCATCACTGTCCTAGACCAATGGTTCTCAACCTGTGTTTCGTGACCCCTTTGGGTGTTGAACAATCCTTTCACAGGGGTCGCCTAAGATCATCAGAAAACACATATATAATTACATATTGTTTTTGTGATTAATCACTATACTTTATGTTCAATTTTTAACAATGAAATTGGGGGTCACTACAACATGAGGAACTGTAATTAAAGGGTCGCGGCATTAGGAAGGTTGTTTTTAATTTTATCAATATATCAAATCGCATATACCTCAACTTTATCAATATATCAAATCGCATATATTGCACTGCACTAGAGCAAAGTAAGCCTGAAGCAAGTTACTGTTGCGGTGGGGGATGGAGGGAAAGCAAAGGTGAGAGACATAAGTAAAATCAGAGTGTCTACGAAAAATTAAAGGGAAGATATCCTAAAACTTCCTAAATCTCCACCAATAAAGCAAAAAAAAAAAAAATGTCTCTATTATTCTGTAAGCAACAAACAAAACTGAGTTGAGGTCTCAAACAATTCACTCATATGATTGCAAAGACAGACAGAAACGTCCAGATTGGAGAGGGCTGCCCTGAGGGCTCCCAGATTGGAGAGGGCGCAGGTCTGGCTGAGGTACCCCCACATCCCCCAGTGCACCAGTCCTCTAGTCAGTATATAAAGAATGAAGAGTATACGAATTAAAAGCAAGTAGGTTGTTAGATTTTGTGAAAGGAAAATGAAAGTTATTGTAAGCAATTTGTGTTTGCTAATGAAAGTAAATTTCATGATGTCAAATTAATTTGTACTTTGTGTCCTTCTTCTGCTTAGTCCTTGCTTGAATGGAATATTGATATTTCTATATGGTACCTAAGAGTCATTTCATTTTAAAGTACAACCAACTATGGAACCCAATTACTGCATAAATGAACATTGTCAAAGGGCTGTCAGTTACTTTCACTGCTAATACAGCATTTAATTCCTTTCATATATTTTAGTTTTTCATCAAAACATAATTTTCAGAAATAAGGTAATATCAGTTATAACTTTAGAAGTCATTATTTCTCTAACAATTCTCTGCAGTTGCTTTTCTCTTATATAAAGGAACAAAAATCAAAAGAAAAGAAAGCACAAACTCCAAAAAATGCAAAACCAAACAAAAAACATAAAAATGAGATAATCTTGGTTCCATTTTAATAAAAACTTAGCAGTTTGTCACTTAAATATTTCTAGGAGATGGTTTATTGTTATTCAAGAAAATATAATTTCCTAAATAATAAAGCCGTTTTAAACTATAAAATCAGAAATGTAGTTCAACTGTTAAGAGTCCCATAAAGCCAAGAGTCATTAAAAAAACAAAATGTACATGCCTTAAACATTTATTTTTACTTGGAATATATAAAAGCACATTACGCAATCATGTGATAATCGGGCAAGACTTTAAGTGTACGTATCCTATTGACTTCTTTCTTGAACAAATCACAACCATAATACAGTATTCATTAATTCAATTTTGGTTTCTTTAGAGTGAAATGAGAAAATGAAGACACTTGTACTTCCATATTTTTACCGACATACTTAGTAGGTCTTTCGAAAGCATTTAAATTATTCACAGAAACAAGTAAATTTCACTAGTGTAAAAATGGTACAATTAAAATAATTACAATGACAACTAGAATAAAGAGGTTTGGAAATAACTGGCTCTTGATAAGCTTGCAATTCATCAACGCTGAATCATGTGGCTTTGTCTTAAATGACTAGATGTTCCTCAACAGCCACTCTAGCTTCCTTCCTTAATGCAGACCCTGATTCTTATCAGGGCACACTTACAGTAATAGGAAGAATTTTAATTCTTACTTATGATCCTAAACTGAAAGAGTACCTTAGCTATTAATAGGCCAGTGACCAGCAGGAAACTTTTCATGGAAATGGGATAATAACTAGAATACAACAATTCACTCTTCTTTCAAACTTCAGGTACCAACCCATTAGTGAGCCAGGGCCAGGATTTGTTTAAATAGGCTAGAACAGAAAACAAAGCACATCATTCAGAGTGATAATAATACTACAAAAAAATTTTGTGTATACACATAAGTCTCAGCATAAAATATATTTCTAATAGTGTTTCAAAGTTTAAAAAACTACCAATGGATGTTAACTAAACTTACTGTAATCATTTCACAGTAAACATAATAGAAAAACATTATGTTGTATGTCTAAAACAAATTCAATGCTTTATGTCAATTTTATCTCAATTAAAACAAATTTAAACAAAATAAAAACAAGTGCCCCTAGACAATTTTGTGCATTATGTCCAATAATGCTTGAGAATCATTTAACAATAATTTAGAAATTATTTGGAGATTTAAAGAAGACCAAAATAAAAAGAATACCATTTTCGTGGTTATGAAGACTCAATACATTTAAGATGCTAATTCTCCCCAAAAACTTGATATATAGATTTAATCAATTCCAATCAAAGTCCCAGTGGCTTGATTGTATAATTTACATGTTGATTCTAAGTTGTATATGTGAATGCAAAAGACTTGAATAGACAAAACAACTTTCAAGAATAACAGAGTTGGGTGACTTACACTAAATTCATTTTACAAGTCTGTTTTTCGAGGAATTTCCCATTTTACTAAAGTGGTCTTTTGAATTAGTTATTTTATTAGGAAGGATAATGGCATCTTGTTGTGGTTTTAACCTGTATTTTTATACTGACTAATGATGTCAAACAAATGTGTGTATTGGTCATTCCTTTTCTTTTATGAACTGTCTTCAAATATTGGACGATTGAAAAAATTTCATTGTTTGTCTTTTCATTATTAAGTTGTAAGGATTCTTTATATATTCTGGATACAAATCTTCTATTGTTTAGATCAACAGATAGAAATAGATGGGAGTCTATATTTTCACTATCTATATCTCTCTCTACATATCCACCCATCCATCCTTTAATATATACCCATCCATTTATCTATTCTATAGGTTGCCTTTTCATTACTTCATGATGTCGTTTGAAAGGCTAAGTTTTTAATTTTGATAAAATCACATTTTATTATTATTATATCTTTTGGTCTACATTCTTAAAGTTCTAAGAAACTTATCCCAAAATCATGAGTATTTTCACTTGTTTTTTTCGTAAAAACTTTATAGTTTTAGCCTTAGCTTTATGATTAGGTTTATCATCCATCTCAAGTTAACTTGTGAATGTAGTGTAATGTAAGAGTTAAAATAAAAAATTTTTGGATATCTAGCTGCAACAGCAAATAAAAGTGAAAATAAAAGTGATTTTTAAATATGGTAAGTCTTATCTATCCATTATACCTCACAAATTTAATTTTTAAAAGCATAAAAATTTAAACATATTGAAATAACAAAATATGTACAAGACCAATGTTTTGAAAACTACAAAATAGTGCTGAGAAATAAAAGAAGACCTAAATAAATTGAAAGACATTTCTAATCATAATATATACAAGTAAAATAAGTGATACTGGTATAGAAGTAAATATTAATATTCAGTACTATTTATAATATACATACATATAAATAGAATGTAACAGAAATTCCAAAAGGAGATTTCTACATCTACAGAACTTAAACATATTTCAGCAGTGCCAATTCAGTGATGAAAACATTATTTAGGTGAAAAGATAAATTATTTAACATATGGTAGCACAAACAGCTACTCATCTAAAAATAATGTAGAACCCAGTCTGATCCGAACTCTAAAAATAGATTTCAAATTAAATAACACTTAAATGTTAAAATCTAAAATAAAAAGCTTTATAGATTATAAAATTTTATTGAAAGGCATTAAAGATTTTAATGAATATGAAGACATACCAAGTTCATAGATAGGAAGACTCAGTATCATAAACATGCCAGTTCTCTCTCTTGATTTATAGATTCAAGACAATTCCAATCAAATTCCAAAATTGTTGTTTAATTTTGTTTTGTCAGGAACTTGGTGAGGTATTTCTAAAATGAACAATGCAAGAATAGGCAAAACATTCCTGAATGTTGTCATGGTTCTGAACCATAAGATTATCAAGATTTGTTATATAACTGAATTAACTAAGACAACATGGTACTGGCACAGTAATAAAGAAATACTCCACTGGAACATTAACTGAGGGCATAGGGAAAAAAGCCCACAGATATACATTATAGAATAACTTTGTAGATCACTAGGAAAAGGAAGTAGTTTTTGATAAATGGTGGTGAAAAGAAATAATATTAGTTCCCTAACCCAAGCCATAAAATAAATTAAATCTAGGATAATTCAAGAGCTATAGATAAAAGATACAACTAATGAACATGTTAGGATTTAATATCAGAGATCTTTCTAATAGGCCTTGGCCTATGAAAAATGTTCCTAAATATAATGGAGGGAAAAAGCAATCCACAAAGAAAGAGACTGATACAATTGTTACCATTCAATTACGTTAAAATTAATATCTGCTTATGCAAAGAATTTCTAAAAACCAGTCATGAATTAAGAAAAGTTATCTGTACCATCTACAACTGACAAGTTTATTCTTCATAATATTTAGAGAACTACAATTTAAGAAAACACCAAGAACCCAATAGTAAATAGACAATAGATTTAACTGAACAGTCATCTTACAAAAGAGTAATCTGAAATGACCAGCAAATATGAAAATGTATTCAACTAAATTATTAATCAGGGAAATCCAATTTTATAAAAATAAGAATTTCATGTTATACCTACCACATTCACAAGGTTTAAAAGTCTGATAGATCAATTGTTGGACAGATGCACAATAACCAAAACTCTAACAATAGCACAAGTATAAATGTAAAAAACTATGTAGGAAAGAAGTTTTATATTTCTATTAAGTTGAGAGTGAACACAGCCAAGGCCTGAGCAATCATCTCCCCATATACCAGGTGAACCAGTTAATAAAGCAGATTTTTTTCAATAGATGGAGTTACACATATGTTGAGATATATGCGATTTGATATGTATGCTATTTTGTTGTATTGACCACAAGCTTCAAAACTTCGTATATCAAATTTTCTGAATGTGTTAACATCATAGATATTTTTACACTTAAATGTCGAATTCCGAGCCAAAAAAAAAAGCATTTGCAGGAAGTTTTAATTCATTACTTTATTTTGAAGAAAAGTGCTGCTGAAAGTTATCGTAACTTCGGGAAGCTTATGATGAACATGCTCCATTTCAACATACTTGTGAATGCTGGTTTAAACGCTTTAAAAGTGATGATTTCAATGTGATAGACAATGTCCAGGTCAACCAAAAAAGTTTGAAGGCCAACAGTTACAAGCATTATTGGATGAAGATGCGTGTCAAACTCAAAAACAACTTCCAGGAAGATTAAACGTTGCTCAGCAAACAATTCCTGATTGTTTACAAGCAATGGGAACGATTTAAAGGAAGGAAAATGGGTCCCTCATCAACTGAACGGAAGACAAATAGGAAATCAAAACGTCATCAGTAAAATGTTGCTTCAATGGCATGAAAGAAAGTCTTTTTTGCATTGAATTGTGACTGGCGATGAAAAGTGCCGCACTATCCCACACTCCACAACCAGTTAAAGACACGTTAAAAGATCTTGCCTGGGAAGTATTAACCCACCCACCGTATTCACCAGACCTTGCTCCTTCAGATTACCACTTGTTCCAATCAATGGCACATTCACTTTCTGAGCAGCACTTCAAAATGTACGAAGAAGTGGAAAATTGGGTCTCTGAATGGTTTGCCTCAAAACAAGAAAAGTTCTATTGGGACGGTATCCACAAATTACCCGAAAGATGGGGGAAATGTGTAGCTAGCGATGGACATTACTTTGAATAAAGCACTTTTGATGTTTCTCTTAAAATTATTGTGTTTTTTATTACAAAATCCGCATTATTAACCGGTACACCTGGTATACCCTACAGAAAGAAGAGATAAACTATCCCTGCATGCCAAATCTAGAAGCCACCTGTTGTTTTTTCTTATAACCCTAAAGCAACAAATAATTTTCAGTTAAGAGATTTTCAAAATCAAAGGAAAATGTTTCTGACTCATGAAAATTGTTAAATTCAAAATTTAGCCTCCTTTTTATATTGTCTATGGCTGCTTTCACACTACAAAAGCAGAGTCAAGTTATTGCAACAGAGACAGTATGGTCTCTAAAGCCTAAAATAATATTACTATCTGGCCAGAAAAAGGTTGTCGATCACTGTCCTAAAGCAACACACGTTAAACTTGTTTTTGACAGAGACCCACCATAAGAAATAGATTTTACATGGAATTACACACATGATAGTTTCTTGTATGTATCAAAAACATAATCAAGAATGTTCATAGAGGAAAGATTTGTAATCAGAAAGTATATAAACAGTAAAATAATATGTTAAGTTGTGATATATTTTTTAAATAAGACCTAAACTACAAAACTCATAGAAGAAAACATAGTGGAAAGGTTTCATGACACTGGATTTGGCAATGATTTCTTGGATATGACATCAAAAGTACAATAAGCACCAAAATGCAACAAGCCCTGGCCTGGTGGCTCAGTTGGTTAAAGAGTTGTCCCGTACACCAAAAGGTTGCAGATTCAAAACTCAGTCAGGGCGGCATATGGGAAGCAACCAATCGATGTTTATTTCTCTCTCTCCCTCTCCCTCCCTTCCTTTGTCTCTAAAATCAATAAACATATCCTTGGATGAGGATTAAAATAATACACACAGACAACAAAAGCAAAAATAAACAAATGGGACTACATCACAGTTTTTAAACTTCTGTACATCAAAAGAAATCATCCACATAATGAAAAGGCAACGTACAAAAATGGAGAAATTATTTGCAAATCACATTGTCACATAGGGGTTACTATCCAGAATAAATAAAGAACTCCTACAAATCAACAACAAAAAAAACAAATAACACAATTCAAAAGTGGACAAAGGATTTGAATATACATTTCTCTAAAGAAGATATACAAATGTGAAAAGATGCTCAACATCAGTAATCATTAGAAAAAATGAAATCAAAACTACAATGAAATATCACCTCACACCCATTAAAATGACTATTATCAAAAACACAAAGTAACGAGCTGGCAAGGATGTGGAGAAATTGGAATCCTTGTGCACTGCTGGTATGATGTAAAATGATGCAACCACTACTGAAACATTATGGCAGTTCCTCACATTCCTCAAAATAGTTAAAATAGAATTATTATATGAAGCCCAGACAACGTGGCTCAGTGGTTGAGCATTGACCTATGAACCAGGAGGTCATGGATGGATTCCCGGCCAGGGTACACACCTGGGCTGCGAGCTCAATCCCCAGTGTGGAGCGTGCAAGAAGCAGCTGATCAATGGTCCTCTCTCATCACTGATGTTTCTATCTCTCTCTCCCTCTCCCTTCCTTTCTGAAATAAAAATATATTTAAAAATAAAGAAATATATAAAGTTCATAAACAACCAAAACTAAACTATATATTGATTAATAATGTTAATGTGGTAAAAACTATAAAGGAAAGCAAAACATAAGCCAAGTTCAGAAAATGGCTATTTCGAGGGGAAAACAAAATTGGACTGAGGAACTGCCATCAAAGGCATGACAATAATGTACATTTTTTTAAAGCTGGGTGGTCAATCCAAGGTTTTTTTGTTGCCATTTTTTAAATATCTCACATTTTAATATTTTGTGTTTATTTACCACTTTATGAAAACAGCTTTCTAATATTCCAAGAAACTCCAGAATAGCATATAATCAAGGTATAAGGAAAACTTTTTTAACGAAGAATGAAAACCCTGATGTTAAAATGTCACATTTATGTTAAAAACATTTCTTTCAGAAAAGTTGACACAAAGAAAAAAAAATAAAGCATGAGAAATCAAACCCCCCTACACTATATTATCAAAAGAACTTTAGATGATGCATTTTAAAAGTTAAATTTTCTGAATGATCAAGTGATTGTCTATCTTTTCAAATGTATACCTGAATCTCGTTTCACAATTATCCTTTATCATGCTTACTATGACTCACCTTAAATAACTCCTATTACAATATAAAAGAAGGATACAACTTGGCATTAAAAAACACTTTAATAATTGGGAAAAGGATATTTTTTAAAGTATTTTTATGTGTTTTTATTGATTTCAGAGAGAAGTAGAGAGAGGGAGCGAGAGATAGAAACATCAATGATAAGAGAGAATCATCACCTGGCTGCCCCCTGCAGAGCCTCTACTGAGGAGAGTCCACACCCAGACATGTGCCCTGACTGGGAATCCAACCAGTGACCTCTTGGTGCATGGGTCGATGCTCAACCACTAAGCAACACCAGCCAGGCCGATATTTATTTAACAAATATTTATGACTACACAATACAGAAGCCAGTACAAATGTTAAACTTATTAAAAGTTGCTTAAATTTAGAGCAAAAGGGGTAGGGGAGTGGGGAAAGAACTCATAGATAAAAGACAATAGTGTGGTGATTGCCTCGGGGAGGGGACTTGGGGTGAGACGGGTAAGGGTATAGGGGAGATAAGTGGTGATGGATAAACACTTGACTTGAGGTGGTGAAAATACAATACAGTGTACAGATGATGTTTTATAGAATTGTGCACCTGAAACCTGTATCATTTTGTTAAGTAGTGTCACCCCAATATATTCTATTTTTTAAAAAATAAAAACAAATACATTTTAAGAAGCTCTTCAAGTTCAAATTCAATAGGAATTTAACAAAATCCAAACTAAAGTTAACACTGATATTTAAGACCCATCAGATTGCCAAACATATAGAGCTATAATATACACTAAGTATATTGTCCTTATGCATTTCTGGTGGGAATGGGAAGCATTAAAGATGTTTTGAAAAGCAGGCTAGCAACACATTAAAATTATACATACCCTTTACTCCACAATTTCCACTTTTTAAAATCTATCCACAGATATAAAACCACTAATATATAAAGACATAGAATAAAAAATTTTAATGC